TTATTCGAAAGAATGTAAAAGGTTTTTGGCAGTGTGGGAGTCTGTCAAAAGTGCACTATTTGCAAATTCATGCAAGAAATCTTTCTACTTTTCAGAATAAGCTATTTCTGCCTTTCTTATTGCATTCTCAAACTCTGGCTTAAGACAGACATTGCAAACTAAATGATTTTCCATTGTGTGTGTTTGAAGTGTGTTTTTAAACTTTAAAAATCTTCCAACCTCCAACTATTTTATACTTTTCATCCAGTACCTCACGGTTTTATATCTTTGTAACCTACCTGCCTGTGATGCTTGTCATTTTTGTGTTACTTCCATAAATTTCCATCGACCACAACATTTTTTTTTGTCTATAGTTCAGTTGTGTTTTTTCTCTGTCTGTCTGAGACACTGAGTAACAAACCAGATGTTGAAATATAATGTCTGGGGTACACATTAGCTCTCCCTCCTGTCTCCTCCTCCTCTCATCTCTGCTTCCCTATTTCCTCTCCCCTCCATTATTTTCCAACACTTTCCTCCTCTCTTCACCTTTGCTTGCTCTCTTTTCATCATTTGCTTCCTCTTTCTAGTATTTCTTCTCTACCAGCAATGAAGGCCTGTCTGGAAGCTAAAAGCAGTGCAAGTGTCTGTATTTCCTATCATATGCAACCAAAAAATTTAAACCTCCATAACCTCCTGACCTCTTACTTTTGCCCCTAAATGTCTAAAAACTATGATTCTTTAAATGTTATTTTATATTTTATTCTTTAAATTTTAAGAGAAGTTCCAAAGTTACAGTCCTTTTAGAGCAAAATTCCCACTTCAGTCAGGACAACTTCATTTAAGAAACTGATGTTTGCGCCGCAGTAAGTTAAGTTTGGTGGAATGGATCTATTCTGGGGAGATCACACCTCTCTGCCCTCCCATGCACCTATGATGTCATACCTACAAAGTTTTTACTGAAAGTAATGGATTCTGTTGGGCCACATTTTATCTCTGTTTTCAACAGCTCCCTATCTACTGGTTGTGTCCCTGATTATTTTAAAATGGCTTGCGTGAACCCACTTTTAAAGAAACCTGGTTTAGATCCCTCCCTTCATCAAAATTTTAGACCAATTTCAAAACTGCCTTTTATTGCAAAGATTCTAGAAAGAATTGTGTCCAAACAGCTGCTCACTGTACTGGAAACTAACAAATTATTTGAAAAGTTTTTAGGAAGTACCACAGCACTGAGACTGTCCTGCTTAAAGTCACCAATGACCTTTTAATGTCTGCTGATGAAGGCATGTGCTCAGTCCTGGTACTCCTGGACCTTAGCGCTGCTTTTGACACCATTGATCACATCATCATGTTAGGCAGACTGAGGCACTGGGTGGGGATCTCTGGTACTGCCCTAGAATGGTTTTCATCCTACCTGTCAAATAGGAAGTTTTGTGTGTCTGTAAACAACTATGTCTCTTCGTTCTGTCCAGTTAAATATGGTGTGCCTCAGGGGTCGGTCTTAGGACCCATTTTGTTTTCCTTGTATCTGCTTCCCCTTAGACATATTATCCATAAACATGGTATTTCTTTTCATATTTATGCTGATGACACACAAATATACTTGCCCGTCAGATCCACAGACCCTGGAATGCTGAGTTCACTTAACAACTGCCTTTGTGAAGTTAAAAAATGGGTGTCAAATAATTTCCTCCAGCTGAACTCAGACAAAACAGAAATCCTGGTCATCAGATGGCAAAAAAAATACTGCTACACATTAAGCCTTTTGCAAAGAACCTTGGTGTCTGGTTTGAGCAGCACACCACAAAGCTTGTTCAATCATGTTTTTATCAAATTTGAAAAAGAAAGATGACCACATTACTCCTATTTTAGCTTCATTACACTGGCTCCCAGTATGTTTTAGAATTGACTTTAAAATTCTATTGATCACTTTTAAAGCTCTTCATGGCCTCTCAGCTTGTTATATTTCTGACCTTTTAGTCCCATACGCACCAGCACGCACCTTGAGATCCTCGGGCAGAGGTCTGTTGTCTGTTCCAGAGTCTCGACTGAAAACTAAAGGGGACAGAGCGTTTGCTGTCAGGGCCCCGAGGCTCTGGAACAGCCTGCCCGAGGAAACCAGGTCAGCTGAGCTCTGACCTCTCTGCCCTCCCACACGCCTATATGGATAGCCTTAAGACAGGGAGAGCACACCTCTCTGCCCTCCCATGCGCCTACACGGAAAGCCTTAAGGCAGGGAGAGCAGACCTCTCTGCCCTCCAACTTGCCTACATGGAAAGCTACAAGGCAGTGAGAGCACACATCTCTGCCCTCCCACGTGCCTACATGGAAAGCTGTAAGGCAGTGAGAGCACACATCTCTGCCCTCCCACGTGCCTACATGGAAAGCTATAAGGCAGTGAGAGCACACATCTCTGCCCTCCCACGTGCCTACATGGAAAGCTATAAGGCAGTGAGAGCACACATCTCTGCCCTCCCACGTGCCCACGCAGAAAGCCATAAGCATAAGGCAGTGAGAGCACTGCCCTCCCATGCGCCTACTCGGAAGGCCTTAAGGAAGTGAGAGCACACCTCTCAGTGGCGGCAGCTTGCTTGCAGAGGAAGCAGCAAGGGCTACCAGGTTATAGCAGCTTATAAAGGTACCTTGTATGAAATTTGCCAATGAATGCTAAGAGATGAATCGGCTGAGCTTTAAGATGGCTTCTATCAGCTGATGTGCTGGGATTGTGAGCTTAGCTTGACTTCGTTGCCTGCCTGAATGGTATGCTTGATTTTGTGCTTCCCGAGACAGAATTGCGGTGGAAAGGTCATAAATTAGTCAGTTGTCACTTAATGGTCCATTAGTGTCCTCCCTGGTAGGATCTGTTTTATGACCCAGGGGTCATGTGAAGACAGGGTGTTAGGACTCAACGATGGACTTCCCCCTAACAGAGCCTGAAGCATAGCCTTCAATAACAACTTATGGGAAGTTCATTATTTTATCAATAGAAAATACAAAATATTCATCAGCATGTATGTTGACCACGCTACAGCAGAAAAATGTTCTAAATATGTTTTTAAAATGTTATCTTTGAATTACTTCTTTACGGACCTGTAATATATAACTAAAACAAAATCTACATTATGTACTACATCAGTCAGGGCTGCAGGACGTCTCTGCTGTTGTCAGTGTAGTTATCTAAATGATGAGATGATGAGAGGCTTGGATTGGATTTATTTTGCTTCCTCCAAATTTGAAATCCACAATGAAAAATCATCGTGTTCATCGTGTTTCATCATGCCACTACTATTATATTCAGATCACCACTATCTGGCTTAGCCACCCGCAGCAGCCCACTACTCCAAAAACCAAGTCCCCAAATCAAGCTTTCTCCGAATTCTGAGTTTTAGAGTCTTGTTTGTTCTCCTCTGACATCTCTTTTCTTTTCTCAGTCTCCTCCACATCTCATATTACAGTTAAACAAGTGAGTGAACTGAGTGAACTGTATTTATAATTAATAAGTCTCCATGATAAACTCTCTCCTTTCTCCTCTCTCTCTCCCTTGTTCTTTCTTTGTACAGATCTTTAGCTCAGTGGCAGTCAGGAATGCGTATGCAGATACCGCTGCTATCTTTAAATCAGATATTATGCAGTTCATGTGACCAAGTTCACAGAGCGTTCTGCTGCTCTGTGTGGACTATCTGTGAACTTGGACAGATAGCATTGTTAGCAATGTACTTTCTGGAGTAAGTGTGTGTGGTCCCCATGCTTTCAGACATTTAGACCAAGTGGTTTAAAGACTGACAGTTGTACAGAACACACACATACATTCATACAGCTTTAGAGAGTCTTTTTGAGTATGCAGTTTATGTGAATGGGCGCCTTTCTTCTGCACCCTGCTAGGTGGTCACTTACCACACACACACGCACACATGCATCACACACACATAAACGTGATGGTTATATAACTATTCATGTCCTCTCCAGAGGATCCCGTCAGCTTTACTGAAACATTCCCGCTGTAATTCATGTGTTTGTCGTCAATATGTTGTTTGGGCGGCTGTGGCTCAGGGCGTAGAGCTGCCATCTACTAATGATGTAAAAGCCCTTTGAGTGGTCAGAAAGACGCTATGGCAGAAAGGCGCTAGACAAGTGAAGACCATTTACCTTTTATGTTGTTTAGTTTGGAATTGTTTAGTTTGAAACCTTCTCTTTTCTGTAGTCTACTTTATGTGAACGGTGTCCCACTATTTGTCGCTGCTGCCAAAAACAAAGTGCAGGTACCATTAAGATAATGATAACCATACTTAATTTGCTATTATTATTTCTCTTAAAAGTTTCTGTGCGTGTCAGGTTGAGTTCTCTGGAGAGTCCATTAGCATGCACGTGTCAGTAGATGCAGTACTGAAGCACATGGCTCATAAACTAGTCCATGAAGCAGAGCTAATAGCTCTCTATGTGCTCGCTGGCATTGAAAATGTATTATTGTCATAAATGTGTGAGTTATTTTCGTGCATTTCCATTCTGCTTTGAGGTGATATGAACTAATCTGATCTGAAAAGAACTGGGCTCTGTAGAACCAAAGCACACTAGAATAAAAGCAAACTCCCATTAAGTCTTATCAAACACCAGTCCACCATCTTAAATGAATCTTTATGAGATCACAAGTTGAAGTTCTGGTGTGTGTCCTGAGCATTCCCAGTTTGAGGTTCACCAGCATCTGGCTGGAGCTTATTTTCCATCCTGGGTTCCTTCCAGTGGAGCTGCTGCTTCCAGGAAAACTAAATCAATCCCAGAAATAATGTCCACAGCAGGCTGGACATGCACAGGACAGACCGAGGAGAAAAAGAAAGAAAGAAAAAGTTTGTTCATCTTCACCTTTTTTAAATTTTTTATTATAAATTAATGAAATAAAAAAGGCAAAACTGTAGAAAAGCAGTTGAAATAAACCTTGTCTCTTTGTTTTTTTTTTTTTTAAATCTAGTAAAGCTGTGTGGAGCATGTGATAGCCCGAAAAGGTAAAAGATAGAGTAAGTGTACCAGGGTTAAAGCTTCCATTCCTGTTCCCAACTGGACTTATGATAAACATCACTGGACAGGAGTGCAGCTAAATGTTTGACACACTAAACAGACATAAAGTAAAAAAAACATACAGTATAGACTTTGAGCATATAAGAAAATAGGTTGCTATTTCATTACATATGCAACACTTGAAGCATAAAATATCTTCGTCATTATCAGAATGAGTTATTACTCTCTGGAATTGAACATTGTATATTTGGACTGGGCAAATCCAGTTTTACCTGATTTTCAGCACCATTACAGTAGCTTATCGATCAGAGGTTTTGGAAAGTCTTAATAGGCAGATGTGATTTGATCATCACAACAACAGCTAAATGTGTTCAGGATTCTTCAGATATCTTCACTTTTAATCCTTAAACGCTGGATCCTACATATCCCAAAATACAACCAATAGCATCTTTCAATCCGACCCTCCCTGCCTGGTCAATGCCGAGGTCTTAGTAACTTAATTCCTCCATCTGAGCAAGTGAAGTTATAAAGTAAATTGTAGAATATTTGTAGTCTTAAATCCGACATAACCAGCTGAATAACCCCGATGACATCCTAACCATCATCGTCTTAGACTTTACAAACCTCCAGAGCAGAAGACCAGCTGATTTCACAAGCTGTATAGGCGCTAGTAAACTATGTAAACTCTGCAAAGTTTATTCCCCTAAATTAGACAAAGTGAGGTCTCGAAAACCTCAAATATACAAACTATATCAATCCTGTTTTACACAATAACTGAACTTATGAAAGGTCATGACAGAAACCACAACCTGATCTGTGTTTAGAGGCAGAACATTTCTAAGCATTGTGTTTCTTTATGTGAATTCCTTGCGTGTAAAGTGTGTACATGTGTGTGTGTGTGTACACCCTGAGTTTAGCTTCTGCCCGAGGTTTCAGCCTGCAAAAAGTTTTTCCTTGCCACAATTGCCAAGTGCTTGCTCATGCTGGGAATTGTTGCGTCTCTGTAAATAATATTACAAAGAGTACGGTCTGGACCTGCTCCATATGAAAAGCACAATGACACAACTTCTGTTATGAATTTGAGCAATATAAATAACTTCCCCAAATAATTTCCCCACAGACTCAACTTTTCTCTAAGAACGGAGGATGAATTATTATCATTTTTAGAACCATTTTTTTTATGGTTAAATTTGGGACAGTTGTGCACTCAATCATGTTCAATTCCTCAGTTTCTCCACTACATTGTCATTATGCAGTAGAACAGTTATACACAGTTTTTTTCTAAACTCAGAGGAACATTTCCATTAGGAGAAACAGTAAGACGTGTTTACATTTATTTACATGACCGTGGGGTTTTGTCCTTTTCCAAATGTGAACATATTTCGACTTGTTTTCTGACTTCTCTTGTGAGTTACGTGCTGCTCTTGCTGGTTAATACTAACTTTGGTGTGTGTGGCGAAGCAGCAGCTGAGGTCAATATAAAAACACATTCAGTTAGACTGATCCACAGTCATGTAGAAACAAAACAATGATCAAATATCTGTACAGTTATTATCTTATTTCCTTTCTCCTCAGCTTTGGTTTGACCTCTTGCCGGATATGCTAACCACAGTTTCTTCATCTGTGCGTCCATTCATGGCGCTAATAAGCAAAGATGACATCATACGTCATCTGATGTCCGTTGTCCCATGCGTAAAGTTTCTTGATTAGTGGGCAGTAAGCCAGCTGGGAGGTGTGCGCGTGCATGTTCGTGAACGCCAGGCTCGGCACGGTGTGCGTGAGCGTGTGCGTGTCAAAGGCGTATGTCACGTTAGCGAAGCGGCGCTCCATGCTGTCCACTGCATAAAGCACGCCGCAAACCAGGAAGCTGTTTCCATAGCGGCCACGCCGAAGGCCTGTGCGGAAGCTCCTTATTGGCTGCAGGTCTCGGGGGTGGACGTGGATGAGCAGGATTACTTCCTGGTGGAAGCCCTCTGTGTCCACAGCCGGGTAGAGCAGCCAGAGGCCGGACTCGTCAACAGCAAACTCCACCTGGAAAATTAAACGTACTGTAACTTACTGAGGATCAAATACCTTAAGTTTGGATTACCTTCATGCCTTAAAGGCCCAGTGTGGAATATTTAGGAGGATTTCTACAGTAGCTCAAACAGACAAACTGCTTTACAGAGTTGCGTCACCACTTTAAATATGTACGAAGAACAGGAGAACAAGTAGTAAACATCTGGTTTATAAGAAGTAAGAAGAGAAATTTGGATAAATGGAGGGCCGAAAAGGGAGCGGTGAGTGAGTTGTTGGTTGCAATTTGCGTCCAATCACTACTACATGCAGGGAGTTGCATGTCGAAGGGAAGGCAGCTGATATTACTAAAGCAGCAATAAACATCACAATCTGTTTCTATGATGACAAACAGCCCAGTGTCCGTGTTACACCAGTGAATAACAGTGACAGCTTTTAAATCAGTCTCTCTCTGCTCACCAACTCACTGCACCTTAGAGTTAAACACAGCATGCATCTGTCTTTTCTGCGTTTTCACTGCAGCTGCAAGATCGCAATGTATTTATTATTTTATTAATAAACAGTGGGAGAAATCTTATTTTTAAACATTGCAATCAATCCACAGTTCACCTGTTCAGTTCACCAAAACATCCCCCCCCTCTGTTTTATACATAAATCGCACCCTGACTATTGATACTTCTTCTTCTTCTCCTTTTCTTTGTACCTCTTTATGTATTTATTATTATAATTTAACGTAGTTACAAAACACACTCTGTTAAGCAGGTGTCCGTTTGGGCTACTGGAGAAACATGGCGACGTCCATGTAAGAGGACCCGCGGTGTATATTGATAGAAATGACTCATTCTAAGGTAATAAAAACATAGCGGTTCATTATATACACCACTAAAAAACATAGTTATGGATTTTGCATTTCTGTCAATAGATCCTCCTAAATATTACACACTGGATCTTTAAGTGAACAAACCCCCAGCTGAAACTCTTAACGCAGAATCATGAGAGTGATCTTCTCATCTCACGCTCTGAAACAAAGTGAATGTATTTACCACAATTCCTTTGAATAACATTCACTTTTATTGGTAACGTAACTAGTAAAAATGCAGACATTTGTCAGTTTGAAATGTGAAAACATCTTCAGCAGTTGTTTCACCTCCTCACTATTTGCCCTTTTGAACTCTTGAGTGATTTGTAGTGTTTTTGTTCCCCTCACTGACCTTTTCTGACCCGTTAAAGCGTCCTGAGTGTCTGTTACACTAGTATACATCATCGTGCGTGTTTCTCGTACAGTTAAGTGATACCGTGGGTCTTACTTCAGTTTGCGTCCTGTGAGCTTGCTCCTCCAGTATAGCATCATGCAGTGTGGTCCAGGCTGCTACATATCTGTGTCTCAGATCGTATCTGATGACGTCCCTGCTGAAGGCCCGGTTGTAGTAGAAAGCTCCATTAAACACGACGTGGCCTGTTCCAGTGAAACTGTAGGGCAGCTTGTAGGAATTACTTGCCTGACCTGAGCAGGAACAGCACACAGAAAGCAAACATACAGCTGGTCAGGCTCACGACCCACAACCATAAACCTTTAGTGTAACTATGACTATTTTACTAGTTCTCCGCACAAATAAACAGTACAACTGTAACTTCAATGGATGCTAATATTTTAAGCTTCCTAAAGGCATTTCTACTCTCTAACCTCTGTGTATGTGCTGGTAATGCTCAAAACATACTGCCCCCCTCAACTACCCAGTATATGTTTGGTCAACACATTCTCACTCCCGCCTCCTCATATATTGACGCTTGGTCAAGGCCCTTTGGCGTCGCTTGTTAACGACCTGGTTACCCCCTTTAGCGTCATTTTTAGGCAGTTAAGGCTTTTAAGACGGTCAAGTTAGCAACTGTCAGTCCCACATCCGTACCACCTGCCACATCCGTTCTGCACATGTGCAAAAGTGGTTCTGTCAGTCATAGGGATCCATAGGCAGGGATCCGGCAGGCAGCACGGATTTGGTACCTACAGCAACAACAAATGTGGACTTTCAAAATAAAATGCTAGCATTTCGAAACATCGCCATATTGAAAAAAAAAGTTGTGAAACGTTGCAATTTGGTTAGGTTTAGGCAACAAAACTACTTGGCTATGGTTAGGAAAAGATCATGGTTTAGGTTAAAATAACTACGTAGGTCAGTTAACACGTAAGTTAATTTACGTCACTTGCGTAACTTACGCAATTTACATAACTCGTGTAACTTAAATAAAAAATATTTAATGTTGACTTTTTGTTTTGCAAGGGACACAAACCCCAGTCTCCTGGTTCAAAGTCGGGGTTCTGGCCCTCCATCCACCCCGATCACATCCTTACTCAGTCTTTTCTGTTAAATACCATATACCTACCTTTACCGTCAAAAACTGGCTTCCACCAATGCGTTGAACTATGATGGTAAAAGGATCCCCAGTACGTTACAAACTGACGCAGATGACCATGCGTCCATATGTGACGAGGGGAGTGAGAACGGGTTGGTTTGGTAACCGATTTATTTAATTGTAAAAATAACAAATAACTAGTGAACACTGGTGCAGCGGTGAAAGGTGGATTCACACGTAAGCTATCGTTGATTATCGATGCAACGTTGACAGTTTATCCGCTGATCACAAGCCTTGTCTCACTGTTTGTCGCTTCCAGAGAACAAACTTTTTTGTGGAGTATGACAAGTGAGAGCCTGAGTGATGGTGAAACACAGTTGCCATAGTAAAACTTAGCCTCTGAAGTTATCTAATGGGTGGTGAGCTTGAAGGACCAATCCTAATATTGTATATATGCTAAAAAGCTAAACAAAAAATCTGTTTTAAGATGATTCTAAAATTCAGTTTTTGGCTCATATACCTCTTGTATTAATCAAATTTGCTGTTTTATTTGTGTGAAAATATGTAGGAAAATAGTTAAGTTTCCTTTTTAATGGTGAATATCCATTTACCAGTGGGGTCTCATACAGACACTAGCGGACATCGGGAGCCCCGGGAGATTTTTGTGCTGTTTGCTTTATGACACCAGTGAGCGACCATTGGTTATCAATTTATAGGCCTATAGGAGTGCTTTTTGGACTTTTGCATTAGCCTACTTAGTCTCATTGTTGTAGTTCAAGTTCAGTGAACGTGTGTGTGTGTGTGTGAAGTTGATTGATGCTTCTAGCCTTGTACATTTGTATGTGCTACGATGGGTCAGTCTTCAAAATGAGTGGTCTGGTGGTTTGAGTGAACAGGGTGGCCTGAGATGGAGTCAAATTTCCAGCCTGAGTTATTATGCCCTGAGTCCGCCCCTGCATACAGACGTGCTCAATTGATGCCAAACACCTGCATGAATTGTTGATGGTGCACATATTTATGAAGCTGATACAAACAAACATTGGCTGATTTGGGGCTTAATATGTGCAACATCAGGATCAACCACAAACTGAACTGACTGAAAAAGTAGTTCAACAATTCAAGCGTCTGAAACTTGTGTTGAGAAGATCAATAGGTTTGTGAGGGGTGGGCCTGTCTCAGGACCTCTAAGTGACTAAAGGTGAGCAATGTCCAGTCTTTCTGTCAGCTGTTTAGTCATGTAGAACGTCACCAGCTGCTAAAAAGATGCTTTAAACTTTTCAAAATGACTTAATGTTTTGGCATAGTTGGAAATAGATTATTATCTTATATTTCCCTTCTACACACAAGAAAAACCTCCTATACCTGATTTGAAGGTGTCCATGTCTCGGAACTCTAGAAGGTCGCTGCCGTAATGACCGCTGGTGAGGTAGATGACACTGCCGTGGCCGCGAGCGTCTCTCATCCAGGCCCCGTCACTAAGGCCGTAAGAGTTATGCTGGACCGGTTCAGAGATGCTGGCCACTGTGTCCTTACAGACCGCTGCGAGAACACACACAAAAAGTGACACTGAAGATCAAGATACTATGACGTGTATACCACAAAACATTTATACATTCAGACTACCGGAAACACTGTACTTTATGCATATTTACCAGGCTTTGTTGTGGTCTTTGGCTGGTCAGCTGGGCTCTCCGTCCAGCTGAGTCGACTCTTGGGTCCTGGCTGAGACTCTACCGTGGGAGACGCATCAATGGGTGGACCCACATTGGTATCTGGAGGTGAGGTGGTGTGTATAGCGAGTGTAGTTTGTTGGGAAGTAGTTGTCAGTTTGGCTGTCGTTGGTTTTGGAGCTGTTGGTGGTACGTTAGTAGTTAATTCAGGTGTTGGTTTGAAGGAGGTGGGAGTGGGTTTGTTTGTAGTTGTGGTTTTTTGCGTGGTAGTCGGGGTGATCCGTCTTGTTGATTCGTCCTGAAAGTCTAGTCCTGTTGTAACAGCGGTTGAAGGTCCTGAACTCCTGGTAGGTCGTAGCTGGTCAGAGATCAGTAAGTCCACTGAAGCACTTGCAGTTTCTGTGAAAAAATGAAAATGAGAGATAGAAGAACAGAGGACAGTTTAGACAGTTTTATCTGGCTGCTAGAGCTGTCGATTTGCACAGAGCACTATTAAAGTTTGTTTTAAATTATGTGATAGTCATATCCTTTTTCAGGTACAATTATTACTTGTAGTGAACAAGGGTTAGCAAAATTTCCTATCCAGAAGATCCTATAGTTGAATCAGATTGCCAAGACATGATACTAACTTCTCATCTCAATTCTACAAAGTATTTTAGTGACTTTGAGTTCATCCGCCACTTTATGGTTTTGATTCCGTCTCACCACTCTCAGGCCCCAGTTACAGAAGATTTGGCGAAAGAATAAAGTAATGTAGACGAAGAATAAGATTAGATTTTATTTTGCATGGACCAAAACTGAGCTGGTAATGTTACTGAATGTAACACAGGAGTTGAAAGAGACTGTGGAGGCGAAAACAGACTGGGAGTCGTCGCAAAGTAAACGGCGACATGCACAGTGTAGGCAGATAAGTGTTATTTGCAAGGTACAAAATATTTTAATAAAAATACCAAATCAAAAACTCTGTCAGCAGCATCGTGTTTCTGCTTTGCATGACTTATGAGACCTGATCAGAGAGCCAAACATGAGCTTCTGCGTCATCGTGCTCCGTTTTTTCACCAAGCAGCAGACACACAAAGTTAGCAGCTGGAGGTTAGACTATTTTTATATTAGATTTCAGATGTAACTATAAATCACAGAGGATTTTTAAACAATTTACCTTTTTACCCCACCAGAAAGTCGTAAAATTGTAATCAGAAGTAATCTTGATGGTCAACATGTTCGGCAACTGGCACAAACCTACAGCAAAATCTGATCAATCAAGTAACGTGTGCTAAGCCAGAGACGTTTTATAGAGGAGACACGCCACTCAATCACATCCTCAGTACAACTCTATGGGGAAAGCCCGTAACGGCAAAAATGGCGGTTAAACCGCCCCTCCCGCTAGAAAGCCAATCGTCTGCTTTTAACAGCCAAAGCGGGAATCATGTGGTTCCACTGACGTAAGGGTCTGTTTTACTTCTACTGAGTATGCGTGAAAGTTGTGATGCGTGCGTAGTAGAAGTATAACCAGTCGGGAAAAACGCTTTTTAAGCCTTATTTTGGGGCAAAGTAGTCAAACTTTATCAGTTTTTATCAGATTTTACTGCTGATTCTATTCATGTAGTTTTTATGTCCCGGTGACCTGTGAAAGTGCAGCTCTGGCTGCCTCCCCATTCATTCAGATAGGAGCCTGGTCTTGTTAGTTTGAAATAGCTGCCCGGAGGCGTTGCCAAGGTGGCTGCCGAGTGGCACGACTTGCCTATAAGGACTTTGGTTAAGCTTAAAAAAAAAGAGAACCTTGGGCAAACTTCAGGTGGTCATCAAGTTGTGATGTGACATAAAAGCAACATATCAGTCAAAAGGTTACGTTAGACTTACTAGTTATCCCTTTCTCCTCCTCCTCCTCCTCCTCCTCCTCCTCTTTGTAGCTCTCTTCCTCCGCCTTGTAATAGGTCACACCCTTGACGACCATGCTGTTCTTATCTCTGATTGGCTGCTTTGGCTCTGTCTTGCTTTTCATTGGCTTTTGAGTGCTTGTCTTATTCCTGGTTTGGTGTTGTTCCAGACCATCTTGCTGTTGGTTCTTCTTCAGCTGACCTTCATAAGTCTTCTGCGACAGAACAAACACATTTCTGTCTAATTTGTGAAGAATATGGGATAACAATGTTTTTTTGGAAATCAGATAAGACGTGGGAGTCTGTGATTGCTTCAGTTACTACCTTATTGTTGGCGTAAGCAGCTGCTCCACTTTTCTGTCCTGCACGCGCCAAATCTGTAACTTTCTTTTTTTTTTCCTGGGTCTTCTTCTCTTTCTCCTTTTCTTTTGCTTTGTCCTTCACACGTTCTTTCTCTTTAGCTCTCTCAGTAAGATTACGGGCAAAGGCCTGAAATGCACAGACAGGATGAGCAGAACATAAACAGGATTCACCACGGCATACTCAGAAACTACTTAAAGAATATACAGTCTGGTGACAAATGAAAATAAAAACCTGAATAAATTAAAGGAGAAATACTGACAGGCTTGTTGCCACACTTTGTACAGTGCTGCAAAAAAAACATGCCACATAATTGATGCTAACATGCCCATGCTATCTTTCTGCACAATCGCTTAGTATCCCTTCAAGACGTCTTGTGATTTAAAATTAAGATAAATTAAACCACATTCACTGACAGATATGAAAAGAAAAGTTGCTTACAATGATAATTACACTACTGGAGCCTGGTCTTTATAGTTAGCCTGTGATATGTGCAGTTATTTCCCTTTTGAGGAGCAGCATGTACACTTAGGGATCACCAAAAACTCAAGGCACCTCTGCATTGTTTGTAAAAACGACCCCTGCTGACTGGAACCATACTAATTATGGTGATAAGAATGCCTTCTTGACCTGACAATGAAAATGACAATTATCTCTGCATGTACCACCCTGAGGCATTCTTTATGCCTTTATGTGAGTTTGGAGTTAGATTCCCTCCATGCAACATATTACAATGCACAATATTAATGATATTATGATAATAATAATTTACTCCTGCATACTTCTGTGTGCTCTAGTATGTGTTTATTATTGTGTTATGCGTAAGAACATCGTGAGCAATGACCAATCTGGAGTCAAACTGTGCACACATAACTGGCAAATAAAGGTGATTCTGAATCTGTAAAACAAAATGTGATATTGGGATATTGATTTTGATATCCTTAAACATAAGTAAAAACACATGTTGATGGGCCATGTTTCTGACACGTTTGTCCTTCGACCTCCGTTGTTTAGTAGCCTTCTTGAGCCAGTCATCTTCTTACTTTTCTGTCCTTTCTTTTCTTTCGCTCCTCTGACTTGCTTTTCTTTTCTTTTCTCTCTTCCTCTTCACTCACACGGTGTTGAAATATGCACGCATGTCACGTGGTACGCTCCATAGGGTATGTTTGTGTAGTGGACCCATGTGCTCACACTTTAGCCACGTTTCCACCAAAAGCACCCGGGACTTTAAAGTCCCCGGATCTCTTTTCAAGGAACTAAAAGGTTAAAAGGTTCCTTCAGCCCATTGTGTGATAAAAACAACAACTCTGGACCCAGTATTTAGCGTAACTCCATCAGCTGTTCGATGTAAACACACCGCTGCACGCTGGCTGCTGTTTCCGAGCAATACATTTAATGCAGACGTTCGATCTCAGGCGGACATCGGCGAGAGTTGTGTGGCTCTCTGACTGCTGATTGTGATTTATTGGTTTGCAAACAACGGTGAAAAAGAGAGGAGCAGTCGCAAAACGCAAAACAGCCGACATGCTCGACTTGCCCATTCAGAAATTCACTGCAAGGCAAGCCCCAAAGCAACACAGTACTTTCGGAAAGTACTACCCCCCAAGCAGGGACTTTTTTGGGGGGTAAAATAAAGACCCTACAACTACATTTAGACCCCGATCCCTCCGGTGGAAACGCAGTGAGTTCTTCCAAAGGGACCTAGTTCCCGGGGGAAAAGTTCCTCTGGTCGAAACGCGGCTTTACATGAGACAGGGCCAATGAAACTATTCAATTCAAGGGGGGTAGGTGGGAGCAACCCCCTATATAATGATTAAACATCATCATTACATAAAACACAACTAAGACACACAGTCAACGGACGCATCTCTTTAAAAAATAACAGAATATTATATAGTTTCTGTGATGTTTTCGATGACATACTGTGTGGGTAAAAACACAGAGTCAGACTAAAATGTAAAGCAATTTAGTGTCCTGTGTGTGTGTGTGCTGACCTTCTCCATGTTGTCCACCCTGCTCAGCAGCTTGGTGGTGACAGAGTGAAGCTTTAACAAGTCCATACCATACAAGGAGCCCTCCAGCAAGTCGATGATAGTTGCCAGCTAAACAGGGAAAATCACAGATATATAAGTGACACAGAGAGATGAAAAAAGCAACATCTTTACCTGAAGTTCAAACTCTAGAAGAAATACTTTGTCCTCAATAGCCAATAGAAAGACAGATGTATGTGTGTGTTTTACCTTAATGTCATCTTTGCTGGCATCCTGTAATTTTTTGAACCTGTACTCTCCCTCACAGGGGTTGACGGCTGAAGGCGGAGCCATACACACACATTTCTTGCAGTCTGTCCCTTTGGCGACCGTCTCCACAGTGTAAAAATTCTCGGATGCTGATGCCGGGTCGCCGTCGTGGATACGGCTGCAGTCAGAGCGTTTGATTGGTCGAACGATACAGCGACACACACAGTCGGACCCTGACGACAGAGTCTTTACTTTGTCGTAATCGCCCAGCAACTGAAATAGAGGGGGAAAGTTGACAGTAAGAATTTTAGTTTTTGCCTTATCAAAATAATAGCCTAAATGAAGTGTTCTCTGGTATCAATACCAAATAAACTATTTTTAAACAAACTACTTCTTCCTTTAAGACCGGCTGCAACGTCTGCATACGTTTCCCTTTAAGACTGGCTGCGATGTGTTCGTGCCGGATGTGACACAATGCGTATTTAAGTAGACGCCTACATTTTCAAGACACATAACTGACTAAATGCATCCTGTTCCACTGATATACCAGTGGGGAGACGAAATGCATTATGGGATTTGTACAGAGATGGGGACTTGAGCTCCTCTCCTGTGGAACCAGGTTCCAGTTTGGGTTCAGGAGGCAGACACCATCTCCACATTTAAGAGTAGGCTTAAGACTTTCCTCTTTGATAAAGCTTATAGTTAGGGCTGGCTCAGGTGAGTCCTGAACCATCCCTTAGTTATGCTGCTATAGGCCTAGACTGCCGGGGGATTTCCCATGATGCACTGAGCTCCTCTCTCCTCTACTTTCTCTCCCTCTGTATGCAACCTTATCCCATTATTGCATGTTACTAACACAACTTCTCCCCTTTCTGGTAGTCTTGTGCTTTCTCGTCCCTCTCCTCTCTCCTCCTATCACTTCCTGCAGGTTTTCTGGCTCTGGAGCTGTAGAGTCTGGATCTGTGGTTGCAGGTCACCTGCTGCCCCCGTGTTCCTGCTCGACACCCTCTGCTGCAACAACTATTGTTGCTAGTCTTATTGTTATTATTGTTATTATAATCATTAACATTACGATTGTTACCATTAACACTATTATAAATATCTGTACCATTTTTCATTTAGTCTATAGCAACATCACCTTTACTGTCTGTACCTCTGTGTGTATATTGTGTAGGCTGCCTCTCTCTCTCTCTCTCCTTACATCCCTCTTTTTCTCCCCTCTCTCCCTCACCCCCTCCCCCTCCCTCTCTCTCTCTCTCTCTCTCTCTCTCCCTCTCTCCCTGTATCCCTCTCTCACCCCAACCGGCCGAGGCAGATGGCCGCCCACCCTGAGTCATGGTTCTGCTCGAGGTTTCTGCCTCTTAAAAGGAAGTTTTTCCTTGCCTCTGTTGCCTAGTTCTTGCTCTTGGTGGGAACTGTTGGGCTTCTGTAAATAACATCATAGAGTACGGTCTAGACCTGCTCTTTTATGAAAAGCGCTGTGAGATAACTGTTGTTGTGATTTGGCGATATATAAATAAAACTGAATTGAATTGAGTTTGAAACTTGGACTCAAGTCCGACTTAAGTTGCACCCACAGTAACATTAGACTCAACTTTAGACTTGCCCTCGAAAGACTTGAGACTCGACTCGGACTTGAGACTTGACTTGGACTCTAGCTCAAAGACTTGAGGCGACATTTATGTCGATTTCAGTAGTTATGAGGACAAAAACAACAACGAATTGGAAGATTTGGACCCAGATTCTGATGTGACTGCTACCCAAGAGTATATAGGTGAGAGACTTGTTTGAGGAGGAAGAGGACTTTGTTTACTGATTAAAAAAATGTGAATGAACAAACTCATATGTTAGACTAGTGATAAATAAAGGTTTGGGTTTTTCAGAAAACCCAGAAAAAGGTTTTAGGAGGTTGTTTTCCAACAATAACTCAGATTTTAGAATGCTTTTGTAGAGGGCACCATAGGTCTTAATGGGTTAATATGAATGTCTGTTTGATACTTGAATGAAAACCAAAGAAAGAGTTGCAGCACGTGTGATGAGTTGCAGCTGCTGCAGAAGTGGTGAGCTGCCTGGGAAGAAGGTGCAGCTACAGGCGTTTACAAACAGGCACTTTTAGGTTTGGAGCACTTACAGATTGAAGGACATTACATAACAAACCACCAGAAGGATACAAAGTGTTGCCTTGGTGCACAAACACACACACAGGTCTGGGTCTGATTTTCCACGTCATTTAAGCTGAGCGGACTAACTGTGGGGTTTGGGTCGTGTTTAAAGGAAAAATAAAATATAGACCTACCGTGTCCAATACAATCACTAAGTCTGAGGTTCATAATGGAAATAAGAACTTGAGGATTTACAGTTAAAAAGCAACACGTGTCCAAAAAGGGTTCTCATGTGGTTTAACTTGTTGAAGTGGATGAAAATTTTTCCTGAGTTCACCAAGTAACCACTGAGATGTGATCTGACACGCCCTGCAGCCACAGCCTGTTCACGCTGCATCCACATGGCAAGAGATACAGAAGTACCCGCTGTCCAGTGGGGGGAAAGTAACTAAGTACATTTACTCGTAAATAACATCAGAGTATGGTAAAGACCTGCTCTTTTATGAAAAGTGCTATTAGATAACTTTTTTTGTGATTTGGCGCTATATGAATAAAATTTAATTGAATTTAAGTACAAATTTGAGGTACCTGTATTTTACTTGTATACTTCTACTCCACATCTCAGAGGGAGATATGTTACTTTTTACTTCACTAAATTTATCTGACAGCTTAAGTTACTTTACAAATAAAGATTTTTATGCACATACCTTAAGAAGAGTTTAAAAAACATGTTGTTTTGTTATAAATTAAACCAAACAGTCAAAAGTACTCAAATTAATTGGCAACAACTTTAATTGTCATGTAAAAACATTTGATGTTTCCAGTTGGCTGCTTTTCTTGTTAATTTTTTTTTAGTGTCAATAATGTTGAGGTTTGTACTGCTGGTCGGACAAAACAAAGCAGAGTGAAGGGGACACTTTGGGACTTGGATTATTGTGACGGCATTTCTTTCTATTTTCAGAATATATATATGTATTTTTACAGACAATCGATTAGTTGCAAAAATAATCAGCAGATGAATTCCCTTTATGAGAGAAACGGCTGAACAAAGACCTGATTAACCTTTTAACTCCCACTGTTGGGCTGGATGCTAGTAGAACATTCACAGACTACTACTACTACATATATACTAAGAAAAAAAACCCAGCAGGCTCCAGAGCAGCTCCTTTCTTCAGTATAGGAGCCATTTATGTTTATTATTGGCATGTCGTATTACATTTTTTTAGATACATTTTGCATTAGTATTCTAGACACTGGGTGGCAGTCATTAGATGCACAGGGTTGTATACAAGGGGCATAGGTGACAGGAAGTGGTGTAGGGAGGGCACGCATTTCTCACCAGACCACAGAACATGCTATAACTAGAAACAATAGAATTGGAAACCAACGGGTATGTTCATCTGTTTGTACAACTATTCTCAACTGCATTTATGACTGGAAAATCTGCTGTGTCTGCGTAAAACTTCACTCCTGCCTGTGTATCAAGGCAAAGGCAGAAGGAAATCAATGCTAGAGGTAAAGCTTGAAGAAAAAATGCCATTAAACTATTTTTAATCAATCCCTGTCACTCCATCAAAATAGTTTGTTATGTTATGCTTGGTGTTGTTTGAGTGTGTGTGTGGCATGAAGGGACAACAAACTTCAATTTCGTTAAACAACTTGTGTTGTAAAATGACCATTAGCCTGAATGAACCCTTGAAGACTGTCGACAAATGAGATTAGATGAGGTCTCATCGAGAGAGGAAATGAAACTGGAAGTTAATATATTTTTCATTCCCATCATTATCAGGATGATCAGTTTTGTGGCCCCGACAGAACTTCTCTTCACCTCCATCAACATTTAGAACTGATTCCCGTCCTCCACTCAAGAGCGTCACTTTGTGTTGAAAAGTTGGGGACACAGGGGCTCAAATTAGGGGTGTGACGTACAGTGAAACAACTTCTTCCTGAGAATAAGATGAGAAGATATTTTAACACTATTTCGAATAAATATTAAATGCTGGAATATGAGTGGGGGAGTGTAGGGGTCCTCCCCCAGAAGATTTTGAGCATTAAACACTTAATTTCCTGCATTCTGGAGAAATGTCTTTATAAAAAGGGAAACAAAATTCATATGGAAAGTAACAAATTCAGTATAAAAATATAAAACAATATTATGCAGTAATCAGTGGCTTAGCTTAATTTACTTTTTATGAACAATGCACATTTGTTTCTTCTATGTTTAAATTGCAATGCATGTTTTGCTAGTGTGCATATAAACCTTTCTTAAAGCATTTCTGTTTGTTATTTAACTTTTTATTGTTGCTATTTTTCACAAACGTTTTCACAAATTCTTTCAAAAAGGGGGTGTGGGCATGTCCACAGTGCAAATGACACCTCTGCATCTGCTAAACTGGGGAAGATCATGTGAATAACACATTTTTAAACGAGTTTCTGTGGCTATGCAGTTTGGCCATGAAGGAAATGTATAAGCGTGGTTCAAAAGAGGAAAAATAGCAGTTCAGGGGGTCTTTCTTACATGTAATTGTAAATGGTACAATATATTTCCAATACTCATGCTTTATATTCAAGTATGATTTCTGACACCCCTTAAATGGACCGTACCATTCTTGTCTGCCCACATCACTCCCAGCAGAGCTGCTCCAGTCCAGTCCACCACACGCTGGTGGAGACACTGTGAGTTAATGTCAGTACTTAGTTAATACACATAATTTCCTACCTTTAGAGTTTAGTAATCAGCATTTGTTTTACTTTAAATGAGCCATCTGATGTGAGCTAGCTGATAGCTCACCCTGTTATTCCATTACCACTATATCATTTCATATTTTATTGTAATTGTTTGCAAACACTGGTGCTTAGGCATGAGCAGTGAAGTTGAGTTATTGTAGATACACATTTTGACATCAATATGGAGTTTATAATTTCATTTTAAGTATTTTGTGAGTCTTTCTACAGTAAGCATAACATTTGTTTTCACTGTGGAATTCAGGAGTTTTACCAGGCTAGGTAAATGTTAAAGTCCAGGTCAGTTTTATTTATAGCTATAGCGCCAATTCATAACAAACTGCAAAATTCCCAATTCCCCAACAATGTTTGACAACTGAACGCAGATTGCATTTCATTCACAGTCAACATCAGCAAGAGGAAAGGAGATATTTGCAAAAAAAACAAACTTGAAATGATAATAATTAGGAATTAGATATAATAATGCAGCCTGTATTTGATGATATTGTCTTTGGTTCTGGTTCAGCATTGTGTGGGTCTGTTTTGAGAGGTCATGAAGGTCTGCTGTTGTGTGTCTGACCTGCTGGCAGTTTTGCTGTAGAACAGTGACCCCTGACTACAAAGGTTGTCCTGTGATTGGCTAAGGGGCTCCTGGTGTAATGGATTTGATTCATCATCATCTACAGGCTGCACACATTAGTTAAATAAGCAAGGATATTATAAGCCTTGTAAGTAACGTTAGTTTACTGAAGCACACAGCGCTGTAGGCCTACTGGGTTTTCTTTTTGACCTGGAAAAAAAGTTTCCACCCTGTGTATAAGGGCGCACAAGTTACCGACCTGGCTAATGATGTTCTCTTGGTTGTCCAGCTCTTCTTCCAGAGGCTTGGCGGTGGGCTGCTGAACTCTCCTCTCCGCACCCACTGCAGCAGCGTCTCTCTGCGGGGACTGCTGCTCCCCGCCTCGCAGACTGTCCTCCAGTACAGCCGCGGAGGGAGCGTCTTTCTCCGGCGCCCCAGCAGGGTCGACAGCATCTTGTCCCGCGAAGGCTCCGCGCTTGTGTGCGCGTCCAGAGCATGAAGACCACTTACAGCACAGCATAAAAGCAGCAGTGAGAATCTGCGCCACATGTCTGCAGGGAGCCGGCAGACAATGACCAGCACTCTGAAGAAACTATAGTCTCACGTAATTATCAGGTCCGGTGTCAACGCGCTGAGCGAACCTCCTTCCAAACGCATTAAAAACAACTGAGCGCTGTTTTGTTCAAGTTTCAGCCCGATAAAAAAAGCTTGACGCAGTCAATTAAACTTTAATTACCTATGTTGGATAAGTTTAGTCAATCAAAGAAGTAATTTTCTAGTAGGCTGTAAAATAACGGAGAGAAAAGAGGTCTATTTTCGGTTCCATGCGACGTGTCGCCGGTGAGCTGGGTGGCACCGACAAACCTCCACACCGGCCCCGGTCCAAACCAGGACTGGCTGCGAGAGAGAGAGTCAACAATCCCGAAACATAACCTACCCCACGTGATTCTTAATGTAACCCACCCCTGAAAGAAGAGAGACCCCTTCATTTATTATTTTTATATGGCAAAAACTAAAATCCTTAGTGTAAATCTTAAAACAGTGGTTCTCAAAGTGGGGTCCGGGGCCCCACGGGGCCATTGAAGAGGTTCCAGGGGGTCCCCAGCAAAAAGAATAATATATTTTTTTTCATAATAATAAGTGACCAAACGTCTGAACATATAAAAGCCTAAATCCCATCAGATGGAAGAACCTGGAACAAAATCTTGTTAAATGAGGGTCAGCGGTGTAATGTGTGTCAGTTTAGGAGTCTTTCATGTGAAAAGAAAGAACTACTTTAAAAAAATACTTTAGCAAACAAAGGAAATGGAGAAGTGCATGGACTTTAATCATTAGCTTTGATTCACCTATTCATTTTAAATCCAGCAAAAAGTGTTGTTAAAGTTGAAAAACATCTTAAGAGATTCTTACTCATTTTTCAGGCGTTCGCCCAGATTATGGGGGTAAAGGAACTGTAACATACTATTTAGCTTCTGAAGGGGTTTTAAAAGCTTTTTTTGTTTGGATTGGAAGATCAGGCCCTATATCGGCCTACTGTATGTAGTAGAGAGTGGGGTAAGTTGTCACACTGTTCTTTACTCTCTATCTCAGAAATTGAGCCACTTTGTGTGACTTATTGTTCTACGGTCAACTTCCTGTGGTCAAGGTCACATCAATAACATGTATATTGATATTTTTAGCTGAAATGCTACGTTGAGCTAACCTTGAGATTTAGCCAAAACACAAAAGGACTGTCACATGTGACAACCTAAAAACCGTAAAAACAGACGCAAAGAACATGCTCAAAAACTTTGTTATATTAAGAAATTAGCATTGACAATAGTATAAAATTAAATGTATTTTATAGTTACAGTGTAGTTTCAGCAGGCATATCCCTGGACTACAGACTGTAAGACCTTTCAAGTTGGTTTAACATGGAATTGCAAGTTCACCTGCTGCCTTGATATAACTACAGTGTTCTTGTTGTCTCAACATTGCTTTTTTAGTTGATTTAAATTTTCATAACTTCATTCTTTGAGTCGGAGCAAATAATTATTTTACTTCAAGAAAATATATAACCATGATGTTAACGGCAGTCATGCATGTGAAGTTGAAGAACAAATCAATCAGGAGTGCAGCATAAATCACAGAACTCTGACTCGGTACTGTCAAAAGATTACCAGAGAAGAGGTCATACAGCCACGTCAACAACAACAACGACGACAATTGGTTATGCAAAAATAAAAAATGAGAAGCAGCTTATTCAATATGTTGGTAATAATAATGATGACATATATTTTTATAGAGCCTTTCAAGGGACCCAAGGACGCTTTACACATAACCTCACAAAAACAAACAAATACCAGAACAGCAGGAAGTCCTTCTAGATTATAGGTGGATTTTTAGCAGTTTTTTTAAACGTGTCCAAAGATGCTGAAGGCCCTGTCCACATATGTTTGCAGTCTGGTGTCGGGGGGGACGGAGAGCAAGCCCTTTTCTGTGGACTGCAGGTTCCTGGGAGGTCAGAAGATTTGCCTACCAGTTGGCCGTGGTACACCAGCTGAAGTTCGTGCCGATGTCGTGTCAACTTCCACAGTCATTTCCTGATCAACGAGCCACCTGGCAGCAGCGAGGCAAATCCCTCTAGATGGATACAACATATGCACTTTATTGATTTCCTGAAACATTTCAAAGAACATACAAAGTGCTCACAGGAGAAGCTCTGTTTACTCCTTTTTCCTTTATGCCAAAGACATTTGCATATTGATGCTGTCGTTCGCACCACACTGCTCACATGGGCTCCGCCCATCAGACAGTAGTAGTAATTGTGTTCTTAGTTTCTGACAGTCCAGTGTGACAACTTACCTGCCGATGAGGCAAACTGTCACAAGTCTGCAACTCCTTAATGAGATAAAATATGAAGATGTGATGAAATAAAATATGTGCCCAAGACTTCCTTATATCATCTGGAATGACATCTACACAATTGTGATGGATGGTGCTCAGTAAATGTTAGACCGTGTGAAAAGTGTGACAACATACCCCAGTCTCCCCTATAAATTAAGGAATGTTCGACTGTAATTTGTTTGTAAAAGAAAAAAAAAACACCCCTAAACCATACAATCCATTAAATATACCGTAACATAGGCTATCCCAAGATGTTAACTTACCCATTAATTATCCCCTTTATCCGAGAGTACAAAAGTATGCTGAGCAGTGTTCAAACAAACATAAATGTATTTCAAATGCACATATTAATCATGTGCAACATGATTAACATTACTGCTGCATTAATGTGTATGTTGCATTTTACTGCTGTAGGTTTGTGCTACTTTGAATAGGCTGTTGGGTAGATTAATCTGCAGCAATGCATCATATTCTATAAGGTCATCATCGCTGTCAGAACCACTTCAGCTCAGAAAACCAGCTGATTTAAGGTCGATTTTATAGTTAATTTAGATTAAAATGTAGGATCATTTTCTCAAACCTAAAAAGGAAACACTTCATCCTTCAGTTTATCAGAAAAATCCACATTCATGGTTTTCACTGGACAGTAAAGGTATTAAAATGTATAATCTAAAAAGTAACTAATGCAGTAAAAAGTACAATATTTGTCTCTGAGATGAAGTATAAAGTAGCATACAATGGAAATACTCAAGTAAAATAGAAGTACCTCAAATCTTTACAGTGCTTGAGTAATTGTACTTAAATTCTGCCACTGTCATCACAAACAATAGACAAAGCATTTTAAAAGCATGGTGTTGCACAGGTTGTCCCCTTATTGCACATAGTTCATGACGAAAAGTATGATTTTGTTCATTTCAGTGATGGCTCTTCAGTCTTGAGGCGTGAGCTTTGAGTGCTCTGTAGCGCCTCCCAGAGGTTAACAGAGACAGAACAGGTGGTAACAGGGGTGGGTCGCATCTCCCAGGATGTTGTTAGCTCTGTTAGGAGAGGAGTTGATTGTCCATGTGAGGTCCTCACTGATGTAGGCCCCAGAAACCTGAAGCTTTCCACTCCTTCTCCCCTGACGGTTAGAGGAGCACGGTCCCCTTGGTGTCAGCCTGATTAACATGTAACTGCAGCTAAATAAGGTATATAGTGTCCTCCCACAACAGAAACCACAAAATGACACAAAAAGAGCATTAAAATACCTTGTTAAAGCTTAACTATTGTTACATATATCACCTTTTAAATCATTGAAGATGATATATTCTCTGACGTTGGAGTACAGTTAAAGTTACTGTCCTGTTTCAGTGTTTACCAGCAGATGGCTCTACAAGGGAGGTTGTGACACTTGTGTATATATGTATAATATTGCAGTAGGAGAGAGAGAGAGATGACTGCTGTGACAGGTTTCACCCTAACATTTTAACAGTCCCGCCCAGCTTACCACACACACCGACTCACAGACAGCAGAGGAAATGAGCTGAGCAAAAACCTCTCCAAACATCAGAACAGCTCATTCAGTTGGTATCACGTATAGGTTTCTCGTGTGAACTGCGTAATCAGAATTGAAATAACTGAAGTAAAACTTTTCCGGAGACATTTTTAAAAGAAGGTAATTAAATTTACATTATGGGAGCATCTTCATCTGGCCTGTTGGATGAGGCAAAAATCAGCAACATTAAAGGTAAAACTAAGAGATCACTTCTTTTTTTTATTTTTTATTTTGTTTTCCAGCGTTCTTTAGGGTAGTCTGCTGCTTTGGACGCTTCTTGTTGTGATGGACCAGTCAGCCCTACTTAAATATAAGTTTAAAACATACATATGTGGAAAGAGAGAAAGAAAGAAAGAAAGAGAGATAGACAGAAGAATGGAAAAGAGAAGAGAAATAACAGAAGCTGTAGGGGGTGTGGGTAAGTAAGATAGTGGCACTTGTAGTCATCGCAGAACCAGTAGGGGAGCAGTATTAGTAGTAGTTGTAATAGTAGCAGTAGTAGTACACCTGCAGTTATAGGTGCAGTTTAGTACTACTGTGTATCTGCTCCACATTATTTGTAATATTGCTGACATGTACATAATATACTGGCCTTGTATGTATACTTTGCCGTGCTAATTTAGATGGGTATTTTATAGAATAACAACATTAATAATACTACATTTTACTTTTCAGGACACTCAAAGAGACGATACAGTAAAACCAGAAGTTATGTAAATTAAAAACCGATAAAAAGATAAATGGCTGATGATTTGAAAGAGTCCATGTCGATGCAATCTCGGATGTGTATGGATAAGAAGTTCCATAGGGAGGAGCCTGCGATGGTGAAAGCTCTGTCGCTGTGAGACAGGAGTTCATTCAAATGTATGGTCATTTTGGATGCTGCAGTTAGTAGCGGTGTTGTCTTTCTAAATGCGCGATGGAGGCATAACATAACCATTTTTTTTAGCTTTCAACAAAGAGTATCGGGTGTGACTTGCAACAAAAGGTCCCCAGAATCAAAGTGTGGGACATGTGTGGCTACATGGCGGCAGTGTTAATCACCAGGCATAGCTTAAATAAAATAATAAGTCCGAATGAACTTTGAAACGAAACAAAAAAGATGCGCTATGTCAGTTGCTTTGTTCATTTCTATGTTGCATTCCTATACGTGTTATCACCACAGTCACATCCTGTCACTAATCTCCACTGCAGGCTAGAGTGTAATTACAGCCATTTCCAACTATTACATTATCATCACGGGTTGTCTGATCTGTGTGTGTGTGTGTCACTGTGTCAGTGTGTATACAGTCAGGCTACAGAGTGACCCAAATAGTGTGCGATAGTGGCCGCGCACTGTAAACAAATTATGAACAACAGATTACGAGTCAAAATGTAAGAGAGGATACACATTAATTCATCTCTTCTTACAAATCAACACACATTTGACAAACCCCATAAAGAATTAAAGCTGTTTATA